GTCTATTTTTTGTATGTTACAGGAAGCCCTAATCTTGGAGTGATGTTAGAGGATAGCATACAGTCAAGTAGATAATGTCTACCATAACCACACGGTTATAAAGATTCCTTCAGGATAACATGTGGAAATTTGGCATTGCCTGGACACAGGTGGAAACTTGTCTATTAAGCTCACCTATCAGTAAACTTTGAATAAAATAATTGTTATATAAAGCACTGGTTCAAAAAGTTTAGTCACAGATGTTGGAGAAGTCCACAAGTCTGCCCAAAATTCAAGGGCAGAGTGGCTAAATCCATTCAAGATAGGGAGAAAAGAAGGGAAAATTCTGGGGGACTTACTATTACAATTGTTCCATCTCTAGCTTACAATTATTATAAAGGGTTATCATGCTATTTTCTCTGCCAGCTTGGAAAGGAAGCCATGCAGTTTAATTATCATCAACTCTAACTCTTGAGTGAGGTGGGGAGAACCATAGGCTGACGGGGAGAGGGCATGGACAGTCTTGCTGAAGTCATGGGATCTGAGTTCCATCTTACTGTCTGAACCCTACCATTCTCTGCTGAAAAATCCTAGATCCCACATATCCTATCTCACAACCGGAAATGACAAAAATTAGGAAATTAGAAGACATGTCAAACAATGACATTACATTGGGAGGGTGTGGTGTTATTTGTAATAGTAAGAATAAATGTACCAGTATGATATCTTACAGTTTATTAGAGCGCTTATTAATTTGTGATTTCTTAGAGTCCTACAAAACCCCCTTTGAGGTGATTTGGGCAGCAACGACCCCACTTGATAAATGAGAAGACTGAAGCTCAGATAAGTGAAGTGCCTGCTCAAGCATTGGCAGTCAGCCATAGCCAATCCACATCCTCAAGCATCTCACCCTTTCTAACACAACAAGCATATGGCCTATAGGATCCTTCGTCCACTTAATGGAATCCATGGAGAACAGTTTGAGCCACTGTTTTTGAATCACAAGTGTATTTCATAAGCCATTTATATTTATTACAATCTTGTCATAAGTTAAACCATATATATGTTCACCTGACATAATATGCTATTTACTAAAGTCATTTAAGTTATAATGAAAGCATACCAGTCTAATTACATAAGAAAGCAGAAGGATGGCAGAACACAGAAAAAAAATAACAACTCTCTCTGAAAATCTGAATGTAAATTTATTGTTGAATAAATGAATGAATTCATATCTAACATAATGATATTTCCTGGGTCATTTTTGCTCGCCTAAGAAAGGTAAACTGTCATGGAACTGGATTATCAAAGTGTGCAGGTGCTGATGTAGGTGTAAACAAATATCATAGGAACAAAGTACAAGCACTCAACCTACCAACACACTGGGTTAAAAAGATGAAAGAGCATTCAGGTTTATTTTCTCCAAAGAATATTCTAAATTTTGGGTCCTCAAGGCTGCCCAGAGAACCATGTTTAATCCTTGTGTAGTTGGACTATGGAAGCAAGACCTTTATGGAATCTAAGCATCATTTACAACATTGCTGCTAAAGAACGGGTGCTCAGGGTGCAAATTTAAGAGACCAGAGATAGATCGCTCCTCCTGACATTTTCCCCTTTGGTCCCATTCCTACATCCTCTTTCCAGCCTTGGCTCTTACCAGACACTAATTTGTTGACTAGCAGCAGAGGAAGGACCAGTGCAGTTCCTTCGCTTCTTGTCCTGGCTCAGAAATAGTTTGCAGTGGCACGAAGCTCTGGCAAGAGAAGCAAATGGAGCAGAATAGAGAACCACAGTGGTGGGGGCTGAGGACTTTATGCCCCACTCACACAGACAATTTGAAGATGGAGGTCATTCTTAAGTCAGGCATTAATATTTTGAAAATTCCCAATACTATTTCTTGAACAGAATTGTTAATGGGTAACTGCAGTGTAGCTGTATCGGGCCCATCAGCTTCCTCCCCATACACAGATATCCTGAACTTGAGTGCTCCTCATCACCAGCTACTACTACCCAGCACAAGCTACCATCACTTCTTCCTGGACCACTGCTACAATCTCCTAGCTGGTCGTCTTTCTGTTTTTGCCACTCTCACTCCTTCTACAAACATATCCCATCCCACACATCATTCCAAGCAGCCAGAGTGATCTTGCTAAAACATAAACCCAGTCCTGCCACACCCTGTTTAAACACTCCAATGGTTTTCCATTGTAAAGTAAAACCTGTGAAAGCTGAAACCTATGTAAGGTAGAAATCTGTCAGAGAAGGAAAATGCAAATAGTTTCCACTAACAGAGAACAAGGAAACCCTGGTGGCATAGCGGTTAAGAGGTCACTGTTAACCAAAAGGTCAGCTGTTCAAATCCACCAGGCGCTCCTTGGAAAGCCTATGGTGCAGTTCTACTCTGTCCTACAGGGTCACTATGAGTCAGAATTGACTTGATGGCAATGGGTTTTTTGGTCAATAGAGAAAATACAAAAGTGGTAAGACTGCACTGTGTCAAAGGCAGAAAACTTGTGAAATCCAGAAAAACAAGGCAGTCTTGTCAAGTTCCAGCTCTCATAGGTTTTACTGTACTTGGAATAAAATCTCAATCATGGCTGTCAAGGCCCCACCCAGGTCCCTCTGATTTCATCTCCTACCTCTCTCCACCACTGATCACTACCTTCCAGCCACAGTCTTCTTGCTGGTTTCCATCTCAGGGTTTTTATACTTATTGGTCCCTGCGTCTGGAATGTTCTTCCATAAGTCCTTCCACACACTGCATCCTTTCAGTCTCTGTTCAAATGTCACTTCCTCCCAATCACCCAATCTACAGGACTCTCCCTCATCATTTTCTAGCTCATTGCCCTACTTACTTTCAGCAGAGCACTTAATGTCTGAAAATTATATTATTGTTTGTCTTGTTTATGAGCACTAGCTAGTTCCCTAAGACCAGCAACTGTGTGTCTTTTCCTTGTTAAAATGTTAAACTGAGAAAACAAGCTATTCCTAAAGTTTCCTCACCTAAATCACTCCAATTTATTTCAAGGATAATTCCCATCCTCCCCTTCCCCCAACCACCTTTCCACAAACGTACCGTTAATAAAATGTTCACGGCCACTCATTATAACAGCACACCTTTATTTTCTATCTGTCATAATCAAGTACTTGCGAGGGAGCTTCAGCAATGAGTCTACAGAGGAAGTAGATGAGTGGTGATGACGAGCTCATCAAGCTCTCGAGGCTTCTCCTTGCCTACAGAGAGCATCATGAGCACCTCTGAGATTCTTACCTACCTTTGTGGTTCTTCGAGGAAAAATTTCCTACAAGGAAACAGACTCTGGAGCCAGACAGCCTGGGTCCAAACTCCTGCTTTGCCACCTACTAGCTATGTGAACTTGGGAAGTTACTTACCTTCACCAACACTAAATGTTCTGCCATAAGGAAAACTGAGTCCTATAGAAATGGTTTGTCAACAGGGTGTTTAGCTTCCTCGTCTGAAAAATGGGGATTGTAATATTTTCTATCCTTAGGGTTGCAGTGGGGATTAAAGGAGTTACTTCACATACGTAAAACACTAGCTGGTACTATTATGATTCCTCAGCAAGAATCTTTTGCTTTCCTAAAATAACTGGGAAACACTGATAAGTATTGAAATGTACATAAATGATCTGAATTCTTGGAAACACAATGTATCTAAGACAAGACCTCACAGGGCAACTGAACACCAAAGAAGAGAAACTATTTACTGATTTTTTATTTAGGGAGGCACCTCAGGGTTCTTGAAGCTGTGGTCTTTAAACACTAGAGCTTCCCACACAACAGCAGAGGTATCTAAGCAGCCAGCACAGGAAAGAAACCATTGCTAACCCTCAGGCTTTTCCAACGACCGATTCTACTCCTGACTAAGGTCAGTGAAATATATGACATAAAAGTTTAAATATAAACTTCTAAATAGACGTTTTCTTTAGACATCTCTATAGTATTTGATTTCCCTTATTGCAGAAAATGTAGTGGCAATCAAACAATTATCCGATATTTATTAAACACACAAACTACCTGGGAAACAAACATGAAACTTTTCCCTCAGGAACTGACACAGGAACCTTGTGATGCTTTCAAAGGCTATCAAGCCAAGATAGGAGGGGCTTTCAACCCAGAAACATGTGCCCTTTATCACCAAATAAAATCAGAACAATCTCACCTGTTAAATAGTTTTGCTATCACGAAGTATTCTTATCTAATGTTTACATGTTACGTTATAAGCTCCAAAAACTTCTTGGGTCAGACCACAGCTATTAAAACTTCCAAAATGTACTTTAATTTCCATCCATGTCCTCTCAAATTTAGCAGTATCACTTTTACGACACTATAATGGCCCTGCAAGACCGATAGGACGGTTTTTGCGCTTTTACAGCTATCAGATTCAAAGGTGTAGCAAGTCACAGGACCAAAATTATTAACATCCAACATGAACCAGAAAGCCATAATTATCATAATTCCAGCTTTTTCATAGATCTCAAACTTTCAAAAAAAAAAAAAATACTTGTATAAACAATTATCTGGGACCCACTTGAAGAAAGTGATTTTCAAAAGCCTATTACTTGAGACAGATGTCATAGCAACAATCCTAAAATGCGTTATTCAGTCTGCATCATTGTTATTAATTTCAATAGTAAGATGTTTAGTACCTTGGTCCTTTTCAACACATTATTTAGTGAACATTTCTTTCATCATACCAGTATCTTTACATTATTATAAACAAGGGGGAGCTTCCAACCACTGAACCCTAACTCCATTTCTTCAGGTAAACAAACATAACGACTATACCAAAGAAACAGACAGAAAAAGAAATGTGAGGAGAATATTGTAAAATTAAAAATCTATGAGGAAAAAATAATGCTTCTTCAAACAAACACCTCAACCTAAATCTTACTGAAAAAGAACAACTAGGGTCTCAAATTTGTATATTACAATAATACCAATTAATTTAAAATTAGAAACACTTTAATAAGAAAACTCTGTTACTCTCTGTGGCTTACCTCATCATCTTTATACCAGGACAAGCTTTCAGCAGTAAGGACGAACCAGTATCCCTTTGAGCCTCCTTTCATGATGCCAATGTTGCTGATGGTTAGCCAGCCCTTGCGGATCACCTAACAAAAGAGCAGAAATCAACAGAGACATTTAGTTTAACATAAGTCACCTTTCACACAGGTCTTGGACCAAGTGAAGTTAAAAACAAGACACAAATTACAGTCAGAACAGTATTATTCCCCCAAAGCTCAACTTCTATTCAGCTACTCAAGATAATTTATCTTTCAAAAGTGCAGATGACCAGAGAGAAGTCTCTTCTGCCAATGAATGCAGTCAAAATTGTGGACTTACATAGATGGCGGAAGCAGAGTTACTAAAACAGACAGGAATGAAATGAGGCAGACAATTACTAGGCTTGTGCCAGGCCTATTTATGGCATTGCTGTTACAATTAAAACGTACTTATTTAGCTGACTGAATGAACAACAATAGACTCTCCACACACACTGCCTCTTCTCCCCTTTCAGCCTACTGGCCCATTTGTTCGCCTGGCTTGCGTCTCATTAGGATTTCCACAAGGGACTTGAGCAGATTGCAAAAAGAAGAAACTCAAGCCAACCAAGCAGCTTCTTGTTAACAATTCTAAATAAGGCGGAATAAAGGGAAAAGCTGAAACAATAAGCTAAAATTAAAAGTTTAGAGCTTTCTAATGGCCTTGATTTATCAACTACTTCTGGTTGTTATTTGCTATGCTACAAAACATGTAGCATCTTCATAAAACCTTTAAATAGCTTTTAAATTTTAAAACATAACTTGGATTAGAGATTTGACAGAAATTATTTATAAATGACATGTAAGTTTAAAAAAAAAAAAGGAGCCCTGATGGTGTAGCAGTTAAGCGTTTGGCTGCTAACCAAAAGGTCGGCAGTTCAACTCCACTAGGCACTCCTTGGAATCCCTAAGGGGCAGTTCTACTCTGTCCCATAGGTCTCTGTGAGTCGGAATTGACTTGACGGCAATAGGTTTGTTTCTTTTTTTTAGTTTCTGTAAGTAAAAATGTATTATTTTTTCACAACTGTTATAAAATTAAATTCTGTTTTCCATATGGCATAGTTTACCTTCTCCTCTATGCCAGATTATTTTTGTTGTCACAGAACCAGAAAATTACTATATGGAATTGTACGATACTGTTCTAAATGTCAAAAATCGTCCCATACCTAAATCATGCAATATCCTCAAGATCCTGAAATATTTAAAAATTACTTATTAATGAATTAAAGAAAAAAAAAAAACAACAAAAACTGTCATTGAGTTGATTCTGACTCATAGCAACCCTACACCGCAGAATAGAACTGCCCCATAGGGTTTGCCCCATAGGCTGGTGGATTAGAACTGCTGACCTTTTGGTTAGCAGCCATAGCTCTCCGTAGTTCTTAACCACTGTGCCACCGGAGCCCCTAGTAATGAATAATGTCAAATCCTAAAGTAAGATGAAAATATCCTAATAATTACATTTCATTTTTATATTGCTACTATGTTTTCTAGCTGAAGGAGGAAGTCCAATCCTATGGAAAATTTTGAAATAGATCAAGGTTGTCATTACAGAATTTCTAAACCTCTCTCCACACTTGCAGTCCCTGCCACCCTCAATCTCCTATCTCCACACCTGCCAAATGCCTGTTCTCCTTTTTAATACTCTGTGGCTTTTATAGACCCCCATATAGCTCCCCACTCAGACCCAGACTAAGGCAATTGTTCAAAATTACCCTCTACTTCAGAAAGAAAGAAACCATGCTTCTACTAGCTATATCATAATCATTGGGGTGCTTTCTAAAAATACAGATTTCTGTAGCCATATGTGACTATTAAGCCCTTGAAATGTGGCTAATCAGAATTGACAGGTGCTTTAAGTGTAAAATACACAACGGATTATATGTTGAAATGATAATAGTTAGATATATTGGGTTAAATAAAATCTATTATTAAAATCAATTTCACTTGTTTTATTTTTTTAATGTGGATACTAGAAAAATTAAAATTCATATACGGCTTATATTACATTTCTATCGGACAATGCTGTTCTAGAATGATTCTGAAACTCTTGGGGCTAGTAACTCAGAAGGAATAGAGGAAAAAGACTAACTTCTAGAAAGTAGCAGAGCCAAGGTCATGTTGAATTTGAGGTATCTGTGAGAAATATACATGGAAGTGACCTGACCTCTGAAGCAAATAGGAAAACAGACAAAGACTTGCAGGTCATCGGCATATATGCAGGTGGAAGTTGAAACTCTCTGGGAGAGTAACAGTTGCTTGAGGTGGAATCCTGGGGGAATAACAACATTTAAGAGGTGATTACAAATGAATGGAAAAAGGAATGTCAGAGAAATAGGAGCAATGATGTCAAGGAAGCCAAAGGTGAGGTGAATTTCAAGAAGCGCATGATTGGGAGCGTTAAATCCAGCACAGAAAGAAACAGAAAAGTGCAATGGAAACGTCACAGTGTCTTCAGCTATGGCGGTTTCAGTGTGGTTGTGGGAGAGAAGTCAGAGTTCACTGAGTTGAAAAGTAAACGGGAAGTAAAAAACAGAGACAATGACTAAAGAGAGTTCTTTCCAAACGAAGGTAAAAGATAGAGGTAAAACCAGATGAGGGCACAGGGTCGAAGGAAGTTGTCATTTTAGGATGGGCAAGAAGTGAACATATTCACTTGAACAGGAATGGAGGTGCCTCATCTTGTGAGCCGGGGGAAGGCTGGGAAAAAGTGAGGGAAGAGGTAGGCCCTTTGTGAGTTAAAGGGTAGAGTTTAGAAAGGTTCTACTTGATGTTTTCACTTCTCTTAATAAAAGTAGAGATTAAATTATCTGCAAGAGAGTGAGGGTGAGAAGTTGGGAAGAAGGCTTGAAGATACTGAAGCAGCATTGGTACAACTGGTAATTGAATGAGAAAGTAAGCATAACTAAAACCAGTTGTCACTGAGTCAGTTCCTACTCTTGGTGACCCCATGTGTGTCAGAGTAGAACTGTGCTCCATAAGGTTTTCAATGGCTGATTTTTCAGAAGTAGCTCACCAGGCATTTCTTCCAAGGTGCTTCTAGGTAGACTTGAATAGCCAGCCTTTAGTTACCAGCCAAGCATATTAACTGTTTGTACCACTAGGGACTCACAACTGGAATTAGTAAAAAATGGCTGAAAGCTGAGAATGAAAACCATAAACTTGCAGGAACCTAAATCAATACCGTTGTTTTATTTTCTCCAGCAGCACTCTGCAGACCTGATGTAGAAAAGGAGTAGACAAATGGGAATTGATCCAGGGTTCTGAATTTCGGGACCCAAGTGACCTAAGTACAGTAGTATCTTAGTCATCTAGTGTTGCTTTAACAGAAATACCACAAGCAGATGGCTTTAACAAAGAGAAATTTATTCTCTCACAGTCTGGGAGACTAGAAGTCCAAATTCAGGGTGGCAGCTCCAGGGGAAGGCTTTCTCTCTCTTCTGGTTCTGGGGAACAGTCCTTGTTATCAATCTTTCCCAGCCGAGGAGCTTCTCAGCATGGGGACCCCAGGTCCAAAGGATGTGCTATTCTCCTGGCTCTTGTTTCTTGAAGGTATGAGGTCCCCATGTCTCTCTGCTTGCTTCTGTCTTTTATGTTTCAAAAGAGATTGACTTAAGACACAACCTAATCTTGTAGATTGAGTCCTGCCTCATTAACATAATTGTCTCTAATCCTGCCTATTAACATAATAGAGGTAGGATTTACAACACACAGGAAAATCATATCAGATGACAAAATGGTGGACAATCAAACAATACTGGGAATCATGGACTAGCCAAGTAGACACACCTTTTGAGGGGACACAATTCAATCCATAACATTCCACCCTTTGGCCCCCCAAAATTCATGTCCTTGCCATATGTTAAAACACATTCACCCCATTCTATCTTAGCAAAAGTCTTAAATCAACATCAAGTTCAAAATCCAGAACTTTTTCTTCATTTAGGAAATCTAGAATACAAGTTATCTGCTTCCAAAGAACAATGGTGGAACAGCCATAGCTAGACATTTCCATTACAAGTAGGAGACACTGGAAGGAAAGAAGGGATAACAGGCAACAAGCAAGTAAGCAGAACACATTACATTAGCTCTCAAGCCTTAAAAATAATCCTCTGTTCTCTGAGACCATTCAGGCAACAGCCCAGCCTTCTAGACTCCAGGTATTGGCCACAATATCCAGATTCTGAGTGGAGGCCCCTCAGTCCTGGGCTTCAGCTCTGCCTTCCAGGCCCACTGGAATGGCAACTCTGTCCTTCGGCTTTGGGCGCCCCACTCTCCTAGTCCATTTGAGTGGTGACTCCATCCTTTGAGACTCCAGAGGTCGTGGCCCTACCCTTTGAGACTGAGGCAGCTCTGCTTCCTGTGCTCCTCATCTCTTGGTCCTCCTGGTCTCTTGGTCCCCCAGGCCTCACTGCCAGTGTCTGCACTGCTCGGCCAAGTGTTCCAAAGCTTTTTAGATTGTGAGTGTCTGGAGGCACCCCACTCCACCAGTGAACTTCCTCCAGAAGGCACTCAGCTCTCTTGTTTTGTGGGTTGGCAAGCTTAGCTCCACCGATAAGTGCTCAGAGGCACCCCATTCTGCCAGGAAGCCTCCTGCCAAAGGCACTCAGCTCTCTAGCTTTGTAGGTCAGCTCCAGCACCATCTCACGCTGGTCTCCTGGTTCTGCTGCTCTTCTCACAGTCTATGCTGTCTCCAGGTCAACAGCTTTCCTCACTTCCTTCTGAGTCCTCACCAGAATTGTCTTTGATGTCCATAATTTCATCAACAGTCTCTTCGAGGCAATCTAGGCTTTTAAACTATCAGGCACTTTAAAACTCTTCCAGCCTCTAACCATTCAGTTTCAAAACAGCTTCCACATTTTAGGCATCTGTCAGAGCAGCACCTCACTCCCTCAGTACCAAGTTCTGTCTTGGTCATTTGTGCTGCTATAACAGAAATACCACGAGTGGATGGCTTTAACAAAGAGAAATTTATTCTCTCACAGTCTAGAAGGCTAGAAGTCCAAACTGAGGGTGGCAGCTCCAGGGGAGGCTTTCTCTCTCTGTTAGTTCTGGGGGAAGGTCCTTGC